ATGCGATGTGCGTTTGAATCAAAGCTTTGCTAATAAAAAAACTTTATAGTTTTTTTGCCGGGAAATTATTTATTGCATAGTTAATAGTACATCGTAAATATACATCTCAGTCTAATCAATATATAAATCATTCTAATAAATGGACATCACACAGGACCGATGTCGCACGTGAACAATCTCCTTGGATCCCAGTTCATAGCTCCACCTGTTCAGTTTACTTGTATCAACACACATCAACTGGACGTCATTGCAACAAATTCGTGAGTGCTTACCATAGCTTTCGCTCACTTCCGCTGCATTTCCAAATTGTCCGACTGCCAAGGCGTCTTCGATGATCACGAGGCTACTTTTGATGAATGTTTTGATGTTGTTGTTTGATGATGAATGAATGTTGCGAGTCAATGCCTCTAATTTTAGTTTAAAATGAGCTTGAGGACTTTATAATACTAAAATTCTACGACCTTACAGTAATTGTCATTATAACGTATGCTACACTTCACTTTAGTTCGAGTTGGTGTGTTCCAAAGCCAACATTCGAGAGCTCTTTCAGATGATGTTCACGATTGGCTGATTGGTGGGCTGTCCTGTCGGGGGGCTGCTGGCCGACCAGTGAGTTGGTGGAATAATCTTAATCCTCAACCACACAATTCTTGAGTATTACGCATATCGATTGCAATTAAAGCAAATTCATGCTAACAATCAGTGTTGCCAGGCGGTCTTCTTTTCCGGAGGTAGTTTTTTAGCGATGTAGTTTTTTTTTAATTGCGTTGGTCGGCTAAAATTTATGATAGGGGTACTTCATAATCAAATTCAAGAAAAAATAAATGGAATTTTTACAACGGTACTTCGGAGTGAAACCCACCTCAGATTTGTGTTTATTTTTTTTTAATTTTACAAGAAACTATCAATATTATCAACCAACATGAAATTGAAAAAAAATCTAAGCTTTGAAGTAAAGGTGCGAAGTTATAGTAACGTATTTATTCAGAAATTTTCGTTTTGAAAAACGAAAATTAAACTTTAAATTTTATGAAAACACTGAAAAAGGCTTAACATTGAATTTACAATCACAGTAAAAGTTACAAGATGTGACTTCACAATGTACTTCTTTCGCCAGGCTCGGTCAACGACCCACCGTGTGGTACGGCTCGGCAGCGGTAGCATTTTTCGACTTATATAGTCAAGGTATGAAGTGATGTTTCAATGCAACGTTCAGTGGTTAACGATCATTATACTCTGGGCTGTTCGTTCCAGTATATTGTGGTGTTAATCTCTTAATATTTAAAACAAGATGATATCACAGACCGGTTACTGATGGCAGGCTGATTGGTGGTATTTCGGGAATATGCAAGGCGTTCCATTCAGTGCCGATTGGTTCACAAAATTGGTGGTGCACGGCTTGCGGCTGAGACGTTTTTATATGTGCCACTGTCCTTGATCACTCCTAAATTTATTCGTGCTTAACGCTATAGCACCACAGTGCAATCAACTTCTAGTTGATTGTTAATTTTTGTGAAATCTTTAGATAAAATTCTAATGGACAGAATTTTTTTCAGTATAAAGAATTTTCCATTCTAAAGAAATTAAGTTTTTCTTCGCAGCCTTTCTTACAATGATTACTAATTGTTAGATGTTAGTGTAAAGCATTTATCTTGATACGTTAGGACGTTTAGCAAACATTATTTCAAAATGAAGGTAAATTCAGGCACACTAACGCTTTCAATGCAGATGAACTGTTTCAGCAACTGGAATTTCAGAAGTTTTAGAAAATCCAATTTTTTAACATTTAGAAACTCTATGAAAACATGGTATCATTGTCAAGAGATCGGTGCTTTTCCTCCTCAAAAATTTAATTAGTTTTGATCCTAACGCTGGACTTTATTTGGTTTATTTCTTCATTTTATTTATCTTCACGAAATGACTTCTATCGATAATCATGTAATGGACTATTTTATCTTCATTTTGTTTCGCAAGTCCAACACGGCAGGTCATTATTCTGGATCTCTACGTTCCTTAACTGCTTGCCTATTCATAATATAAATTCGTTACATACCGTGAACGTTTCTCCTTAATTAGGCTGCCTAAATTTGAATGCTTGATTCAGTTTTAAATTTCGCAGGTGCGCACGTAGTTTTTTATCCAGCTTAATAGGAGATGCTTGTGAACAGTTATTTGAGATGTATGGGCATTTCATTCAATATGTTTTCGCACAATTTACATTTTAATTGAGCCCAAGATGCAAACCTTACTCTTTCGACAGCCAAATTTCGCGTTTTAGTTGAAGTGGCAATATATATTCAATTGAGGCTTTCCAGCAGGTTGAAATCGAATTGGTTTGTAATTCAAAAGTTTCTACGCACCGTTCTACGTTCTATTAGTTGTTAAAAAAATCTGGAAATTTGTTGTCATCTTGATGCTACTTTATTCTCGTATATAACGAGCAGGATGCAGCAGACAAGGCGAGTGGACTACCGCCTTTTGTCAATAAAGCCATGGACTTCACGTGAGTCGTCGATGCTGCTTCTCCAAAGATTTCTTTAATTGGTTAAAAATTCTAGGAAATGACGCTGAAGCGAAGAAAATCGAAGATCAACTTGCCGCAAGTTATCGAAATCACACCAGCAGCAGTTGGCCAGTCGGGTAGTCGAGGGACAAGTAAATAAGGAAAGTCTTATACGTAAATCCAGGTTTGTAAATATTTTTTATGGGTTGTAGTTTTGTAAGTCTTAACTGTAGACAAAACAATTGATGTCACTTGTTTGTTTATATCGCAAGTTCACCAAAAATTTAAAAGCAAAGAATAGTCCAAAAAAATCATATCTTTATAGAAAACGTATCGTATCACTATTGACGTTTTCTATAAAGATATTAATTTTTGTGGACTATTCTTTGCTTTTAAATTTTTTGTAACAAAACGTTGCGGTTGATCGCTCGCGAAATCAGATTATGTTCAGTATGAAGGATCGATCATTCAACTGTGATGGAGAGCGATTGTCCATACATTTTTTATATTGTAGAAACTCGAGCCAAATAATTGTAAGGGAGTATAATATTTTTGAATTTCAATCCTATGGTTTGAACTGTTTACACAATTTGAGCTGGGATCAGCGCAGCTGAGCGGCAACTTTCCGAGTGCAGCTTCATAGGGCTTAGATAGGTACCCGTACGTGCAGAGGGCTGGTAAACTCGAGTAGTTGTGGTGTGAATTGTATCACCAATTAGTGTATTGATTAACGATAATATACTCAACTGTCTTTCCCCGAGCTTTACTTCAAGCATGTCGCATACGTTGATTGTTATTGAAGGAAATGGTGTTCATGCAACCATTGATTGTATCAATGAATAGTTCCCAGATGTTTAAATCACCCAACGTTATTGTTCACGTCTGCAAAAGTCCAGCATGTTACAAAGCATGACCAGTCACTTATAAATACTAAGCCGAGAAAAATTTTTGAATCAAAATTGTATGAAATGACTCGTATTGTGTAGACCATGGAATCAGTTCATGAGTAGCTGCAGTGTAGACTTGAAGAATGCCAAATAGAGTCCGAAAGTGTTTTTCTTGGCTTGTTCGAATATTCTACGACAAAAGACGGTTTATCTTATCTGAAATAGATAAACATAAAAATATTCTCTACTGTGGGCAAAATTTTATTTATTTTTCAAACCTGATTTTCACCGACGAAGTCTTGAATAATATTAAGTCATGTGAAAAACTGGCTGTGTAACTCATCCTTGCGACAACATTTTTTCTTCGTTTATTGTCAATACAGTATGAGGAACTGACTATCTGCCGCGCCGCTGACTCTCCGATTGTAATTGCGTTTATCAACTGACCATCCTAAGTTATACATACATTAGTGTCTGTACAGCTTAGTCTTCGTTTCAGTGAGACTTCTTCAATAGAACAATTATACTCGTTTGAAACAAGTCTAGATCAATAAAAGTATCGATGGAAGCGGCAAATTCCGACTATTCAATTGTACTTAATAGTTCTCGGAAATCATTGACTGAACAATGATTTCCTGCTTCTTATCTTATACATACTTACTCAAAATACAGTGAACCCTCAAGATTATCCATACATACAGGCACACAATAAGTATAACTACCCGTGAAATCGAATTTGTATTATTGAATAAATTAAATCTACATTTTGACCCACTTAACTTGGTCTCGCAATTAATTAAATGTGTAGCACTATACAGTTATACATGTGTAACGTACCACGAGATATCACTACCTTCCCTAACTGTAACGTGAGCCGTGAGGCATGGCGGGAGCTTCGAAATTTCTACAGTGACATCGAGTATGTAGCGCCATCTTGTGGGCAAGTTATAAGCTTTCAGATAGATGTTTAATTCAGCAAGAGATGGAGCCACCGTCGCTGAATGTGACGCGTCGTACGACGCAGAGATCCAGTATGTGGCGCCATCTTGTGGGTAAGTTGAAAGCTGCTCGATAGATATTTAATTTAGCAAGAGATGGCGCCACCGTCGCTGCATGTGACGTGATGTAGCCTGGGGAGCGCCTAAATCACCATTGAGCGTTTATCTGAATTTTGGACGTTTTTTATTGGAACAATAATAAAAAAAGGTGAAACTTTACACAATTATTTATTGAAAATCCATCCTTCCTACTGTTCATTTCGAAATTACCGATTACAGCTACTAAATTACTGATACAGTTGACGGGAAAAAAATTTACTCAACTTAGTATGTGGATCAAGCGATTTTAATGTACATTGGGATTGCGACATCCTTTTATACGGGAATTTAAGGATGTGTCAACCGGGTTCCTTGAGGCTATAAATTAAAAATCTTTCCTAAAAAGATTTGAAATTTCTTGTCAACTAGCTGGGGCCGTCATTAGACGATCAGCAGCTCCTCCGTCAAAGTCTAGACTCTAGAGCAAAGGCCGTCACAGGTTAATGTTCGCACCGGAACGGGAAATAATTCAATTTGAACCATTAGCTAAGGTTAATAACATATAAAAACGCGAAATGGAGAAAAATCATTGTTGTACGAACATTCACTACAACATTTATCCTATCACGTGGCCTCCTTACCTAACCTGATAACATCACTTCACACATCCTATCACTTGAGTCAAGTTGCAGATCTGTGGCCTAGAGAAATATAAAAAGGCCTTTCGAAAATTGGCAACGGGAAACGCTTCTCACCATATATTCCGGTCTATACATATAAAATCACAATAATTTTCGAAGCACTACTTTTAGCTAGGTAACCGATCATTGCTTCGTAAACTATTATTACATCTACCAGGGTTTTGATCTTTCTTGAAAATCGAAATTTTAATCCAGAATTGACGTCTCATTATCCCCTTTCCTTGAAGATTGTTGACTGCCTTCTTTCTGCGCCAGGCTTGAATTCTCTGTATTTTAATAGTAAGCTGTAATGAGGTGGCTTTTTTCTTCTCCACGCCCAAATTTATTATTTCGGAAAAGTTTATAAAGGTTAGAAGTGTAAACAATTCTCTTTATAATCATCAGGGACCAAGGCGAGCATTTCTGGAGCTTTTCGGCATCTGTCAGGACGTAAAGAATGGCCAATTAATTTAATTTATTTGCTGATCGATACATCAGTTGCATTCTCTACATACTTGGCAACATTTTCTGCTACAAGTTATAACGTATAAGTATGTACTTTAGAATAGTTATAACTATTAATAAATAAAATAAAATATAAATAAATAGTTGATTACTTAAAAATTAGTTAAATAGTTAAAAATAGTTGAATAGGTAAAAAATAAATACTAAAGGTAGTTATAACTGTTTATAGTGTATAACTAATTTTTAAATAGTTATACAGAGAACTATCGTCATGCAATTTTTTTAACAGCAACTGGGGTAAACCAAATACAGTAATAAACCAAATGACAACAACTGGAACAAACCAAATGAAAAACTATATGACAACAGTTGCTGCAGGTGGCAGAGAATTACTTGTAAAGGCCAAGCACAACTCTGTGGAATTCGACGATAATCAACGGAAATGCGTAAATTAATCCAGCCAGATGGACAATGTAATACATTGTCTATGTTTCCGAGGAAATTTGATTGCATAAGACACTGAATGCCAGGTTGCACGTGGACGGAGTTCATTTGAAATAACAAGTGGCTATAAATTCTTAAGGCCCGTTTACACTAGTGGCAACGACATGCGCTTTGAGTCGTTTGCTGCAGTGCCTCACCGCGCACAACCGTTCACACTACTTTTGTACGCGGTAGTTTGAGACCGCGCGCTTTGAACACTAGTTGCCACCTAGACGTCAATGAGGATGAATGTAACCGGATTTGAGCTGTGGGCCATTGTTCTCGGGTGTGCTGCGGTCCGTCATTCTTCGCACTATGCCAGTTGTAAACGAGAATTTAGCATAGGCATCATAATTAGAGACTTAGCACATTCAAAAAGATACAGTTTATAAAAAATATAGTCTATTCTTAAATAAAAAGTTCCAATATTCGTACAGATATTATATCATCCTTTGAAATCGTTAAACGGTAATGCATAAATTGTCAGGAGTTGCTAAAATCACATAAAATAAACAGGTCCTGTAAAAATAACTTACATCATTTGCATTTCGATTTTTGAACTTCTTTGACCGAACACTCCATAGGCATCCGTGTTCTATATAAAGATCAATTAGGCTCTCTACTAGAGAGTGACTCCAAACGAGAGTGGTGTTAGTCGACATTTGTTGTGCCGGACCAGCGTACACCATCAACCTTACTAGACCACAGATAGCTATCTACTAACTAAGAATTTAAAAGCAAAGAATAGTCCACAAAAATTCATATCTTTATAGAAAACGTTTCGGAGACCAGCTCCATCGTCAGTTCGTAGAATCTAGAATCACAAATCAGAAGTTACAAATTAATACATTGAAACCATAGAACAAATTGAATTTCTTTAATTAACTAATTTAGATTTTTAATTTGATTTAAATTTTTAACTTAATTTAAATTCTTAGTTAATTTGCGATTTAAGCACACAAGTGATATCAATTCTTAAATAGCTATCTACTAAGCGCCGCGCTTGTGTTGCATGAGGCATGGCCCCTGTCAATCGCTAGCTCGTCAATCGGTCAAGAAGCGCATGCAGAGGCTGCAAAGCGCCTCTGCATGCGCTTTGAGGCGCTTGATTCTCGTGTGTTGCCCCTAGTGTGAACGGGCCTTCACAGGGTAACCAGTTGAGGCTTATACATAGACCTTACCTAATGCGCTGGTTCCTACTAATGGAAAACTCAAAAAATCCTTCACGAGATGAATTTTACCTTATAAATTCCCTGTAGGAATATAAATAGCAACAAACGAAAAATATGTGAAACATCAATCGATCGTTCAAAGTATTTAATAAAATAATATAATGTTCATCCGAAGTTATAAAATGGGGGAAAAATTTTACTGACTGAAATTACTGTGCAATAGTGAAGAAATTAATTCAATAAAAATTTAATACAGATTGAACATATAAACGTAAATAACAAGATAGATATTCACTTACCATAAGGCTTAAATTACCATGATATGAAACACAATTAGATAGTATAGTTCTTTGATTATCTCCACTGTCTCCATACAGTAAAACATATGGACTTCGCAATAGTTGTATATATTTATACTCTCGCATCATTTCGATAAAGTCATTCATATTATCTGCCGACGGCAAAAAATAATGATCTTTGAAAACGTTAAGTTGAGCAAATGACCAAAATGAAAATTCTGAAGCAACATTCTCTCGATAAAACAGATTAATATACATGAAGATTTCATAGCCCTTTTCATACCAACCTCATGAGTTAAACTATAGATTTTTCTCAGGGGTAAGTTAAGTGCTAATATATCACGTTGACTCCGATTGCATCATATTGTACTATTATATCATTTTTTGTACTATTATGAAAAAGTATTGCCAGACGGTTTTTTCTTCGGGACAAATTCCGCGATTTAGTTTTATTTTTCAATTGCGTTGGCCGGCTAAAATTTATGATAGCGGTACTTCCTAATTAAATAAAAGAATGGAATTTTTGCACCGGAGCCTACAAATATATTGAGTTATAGGCCTTTTTTGTTCGCAAATATTTCCGCTTTTTAGCTAGACCATCTGGCAACCCTGAATTACGCACCAGTACTTCCTGGAGAATTACATTTCGTGATACGCATATGTACCACTTCGGAATCAGCGTGTTAACGTAGACAAAAATATGAAAAACTAGGAAAAAGATGATAATACAGCGTGACGAGAAGAATTGGATTGGCTATTTAACGCAAAAGGTTGGCTGTTGGGAGTGAAATTGTACAGGAGGGAATTTAAAGGAGATATTATGAAAATTTCTCCACTACTCGACTACCTGTGAATGTTATTTGCATATGATCTACAATTGTAATCTTTCCTCCAGGCAAACGATACTAAAATAACATTGATTACGATTAGATTATGTTGAAACAAGTAACAACCTCTATAATGCGTTCATTCAGTGTCAGATGCTAGGTGGGAAATTGTAGTAGATAAACTATCACGCACGCTCTTCATAAGATGACACATATGTTGTAAAATCTCTTTACCTACGTGCGATTACTATTCATCAATTATACAGAGAGTTCAGAAGGTTATTTACAATATATCAAGGTATGAACAAATTATGAACAATAATTTTTTATGTGAAGCTCCTGGAAGGCACAAGTATAAGTGAATACTATGCTACAACGATCTACTGCTTGGACTAATACCTATCATGATAGTTAATTTTAACTAATTTCAATTCTAACAAATTGCATTGCAGGGGTTGTTCAGGGCAGGCTGTGGAAATCGGATGAACAATTCAAACGAGTTTAGTGACATTGCTTTGCCTTTTCTGCACTGCATGGCTCCAGTAAATGCATGTGCTAAATCCATGTTCGGATAAAAATAGGGATACAAATTACCGGATTGGAAAAGTTTATAGCGCAAGCCGGCGCAGTGATGTTAATCTAGGTACTAAAATGCAATTTTATGAACGCGTGCAAGCGGTGAACCACTGGCCAAATTGACACAATTTAGAATTAGTGGACAAATAAAGCACCTTAGCGGAAAATTGGAGCAGACATGCTGGCGCTGCATTTCTCGTTCTTCAATAAAGATCAAATTGACACTGGTTTGAATTACTGAACTAATAAAGCATTCTTGTCTGCTTGAGGTATTTAGGTGTTCACCTGTAGCACATATCAGCCACATCTTGTTCGTTGCCAAGATTGACAGAAGTTTGAATTACCAGGTTTCTGCAGCATCCATGACCATTCCATCGATGCTTCATTACTTAAAGAAGCATAAAAATATGGATTGCTGGAACACATAGGTACTGTTAATGAACAATGAGAGTTAAACCATGAAAAAATAATTATACGATAGCATAGGTATAATTAGACTTAGTTTCAAAATATGATCCAGTCCTAATACAATATTTTAAAAGATCTTAAACCGTGTGAGCAAGCAAAAGACGCCTATCACCCGTACTATACAAAAATGGTTATGCCATTCTGCAATTCCTGATTTATTTGCACGTGGATTCAGTACATATACCTAAATTCCAAGTCCAAAGTTTGGTTACTTGAGTGACTTCTGATACCATTCATGCAAGATGTTGAATAGCCAGGAAGCAAAGAATCGACACAAAAAACTATCATTCTCTTTAGGATGCAAATTCCTTACAATTTTCAATGACAAAGGAAAGCAAATATATTGTTCCATGGGCAGTTCATGGCCATGCTTCTTCATGCAATGAACAATTACGAAACTGTTCAGTCATTAAACACATCTACTGTCCCAACAGCGACGGTTTCACTTTTCGACTATGCATACAAACACTATGATATCTGAAAGTTACTTTTCAAATCATAATACTGTTAGAAATGGATACGCGAAATTACGATCCCGAGTCATCTTAGCATACGTTCATTTAATAAGTAAGAACAGGTAAAATTTTTTTAGTTCACCATTCCTGCCACAATTTACCAAGGGATTTGTTACGAACTACTTTTTTTTTCTTCGTCGTCCAGAATGAGTATGTTGCGGATCCATCGAAATTATATAACTAGTAAGTCAGCTGAACTCTGTTAATTATTCGAAAATAGGATTAAATGCTTTTGTATGCATTCAAAAAAATGCCAGATTTAAAAATATAATTCGTTACAATATAGTTTTTCTCAGTAATCTCTTCTTGTCATTCAAACGAAAAAAAATTATTTCGTTTGTAGTCAATTTCAATCAAAGTATTATTAACTTCACGTACACTTTTTTTTTCAAGAATCCATCGGTTTCGCCGAGGTTTTCCTTAAGTCTTACAAGAATATGTGTAGTTGGTCATCAAGTCGAAGGTTGTTTTCATATTTCAACGTATAACTTATGCACGTTCATTTATAGAGCGATGGACCGAATTCGTTTATAAACTCATCAGGCTCTGATATTTAGTTTTCCATGATTTCTTAGCTTCGATTTATCTAAAAACTCTCAGGCAGTTATTTATATGGCAATAGATGATAGGTTATGAACTTATGACTAATCAAAACATTTAAAGGCTCTACGAAATAGTTTCGTCTGTAGGCGTCGACAAAAAACCGATACCGATGGATTCGATGTCACAGATACCAGCAGATTCCGGCAGCGGTGACCGGGAACACTCCGACACCGATGGTGGACAAGCGTGTGGATGGCTCGCCGTTGGCGACGAACGCAGTAGTGTTTTAGCCCTACTGGGTTCACGTGCAAAAACTGATCAGATTGGTCACCTTTACGGAGGGTTTGTGATCGAAATTTGCAGGCAACCTCTGTGGGGCCAGGTGGTAGATCCGACACGCACTGCAAACCTTACGCGAGGTAGGGAGGGGTCAGACCATATGACTGCGGAACGTTTGAACGGCGAATTTTAACTTCATGCGCAGCTGGATGTACAGCCAGTGAAGTTCGTGTAATATCGGCGTCTCATGGTCTTAATTTCGCTTGGCGCATACACAAGTCGCACAGCTGCTGGTTTTGTGACTTTGGCTTTGTGACAGCGGCCGACGCTACGAATCCATCACAATGAGCCAAAGAATGGGTGACTTTGGCAATGTGATTGATCAGAGACAGTCCTGAGTACAGCTGAATGCAGAGGTTGCGAACCGATGACGCAGGCATGAAAATCTCGTTGCTCAAGTGAACATTTTCGGCTGGAAGCAGATGCTGGCTCCGAGAAATCGCAAACCTAATAAATTTGGCTTTCAATGCATTGAGCAGGCATCTGGCCCTGCAACCCGTCAACGTCCGCCGGCGCACAGTAGCCATAAATTTGGTTGTCGTCATCGTATAGATGCGGGTTAATGCCATGTGAATCAAATATGAAAAAATGTAATTAAATCAAAATGTCCACAGTATATAAAATACATGTGATTGGGCCGAGGATCTCCCCTATGCTACGACGCAGTTGACCGACGATAGCGTAGAAGTGTATAACTCGATCCAGCGCACCAATGCGCTGGGCTACGATTCGATGCAAAATATGTCGATTCGATTACGATACGTCGATTCGATGCAAAAAAAAGTCATGTGGTCAACCGTTTCAAATGTTGCCGACAGGTCGAGTAAAGTCAATGCCGCAATTAATGTCGCTGTGATCTATTCATTGAAGAATGCCTGAAAACACCATCAGCACGGCGGTTTCCGTCTAGCTTGATGACGGTATACGGACTGGAGGCATGGCATTACACCGGACTGTTCAAGATTCTCAAGACCGAAACGCATTCTAGGTGTTCGATTGACGAAATAAACAGGTTGGAGATTGGTCGATACGATTTGGGTTGAAAAGCGTCAAGGTCAGTTTTTATTCAATAGCGGCGTGATATAGGCAGGTTTGAAATTATCTGGAAAAACCTGGTCGGTGAATTGGCGATTAAAAGATTCGACCATGAACGGTGCTAAGGGGACAATATTTAAGGGGTCAAACGGTGCTAAGGGGACAATATTCCATTTAAGTAAGGACGTCGGCAACTGATCACTGGCACACTGCTAGTCTATCAGCGCACGCATCGCAGTTGAGAGATCATCGGCTGCGACGCAGGTGAATCTCACGGCGCAGTCGTACGGGCACGGCGTGAATATTTTCTTTCTATTAGTTCAGTCCAATCCAGTTTATTGACGGAGCTTAATCTAATTTTCCACTCAGCATTGTCCGGTGCCGTTCAATTAAACTTCAAATTCCACACCCATAAACGACTTATTTCATTTCTAATTTTAGGATTGTATTTCATCATTCCTGTATAAATGGCCTGGTGCAGGACGAGAATCTTGTTGGCAAATGCGTAGCTCTCTGTGAAAAGTTGTTCGGGAAAAAGGTAGATTTCGCAGGGCAACTCTAAAGTATGGCGGAAATAATTTTGCGATGCAGAAATTTCTTCGACTCCTCAAATTTCGCGCCGCAAAAGTTAGCAAACAACAACGTGGCATTAAGGTCAATTAATACGTGTACACTTTATACAAGGGTGATTCCCTCCACTAATATGATGTTATTCCTCTCCGAAATGAAGATTGTGGTCACGCTTGCTCTCATTCTTTGATTATGGTCAAGACGGCGATGTTTTTTATCTATTACCAGAGATTGTGACGTTGTTTACTTCCCTTCAAATGCTCCATGGAGAGTCGATGACAATTTTTAATTAGGTTTAATGAGCGTGCGAGCTTGCCTTAGGAATTGCAGTTTCATACTTGGTTAACTCGCAACTGCATGAGCTTAGTGGTTCAAAAAACTTGAAACACAAGCCAATGGCAAGTTACTCTTTTATGTTTCCATTTCTTACGTTTTTCACGTGAGCTCTCCGGGCACAATTTATATTTGAGGTTTATATTTTTAATCCTGCCTGTCTTCAGCAGTTATTGTCTCCTGCCCAGCCGTACTAAAATGGCTTTTAGCAAGGCTATTCTGAACGCTGTCATACTGAGGTCCCGTGAATTTTTTTTCCGAGCCAAGC